TTGACAGCCCAAACAGACAGCCGACCTGGGGGAGGCACTAATTGTGAGAAAGTTGTTACCGAGCAGGCATTATCTGGAGGAGGTATTACCTGTGGGGAAGCGGCGGATGGAGGGCAGCAGGTACTCATACTCCTCTGACAGCCCAAACATGCGCGCCACCGGCACCACCGCGTTCTGCAGCGCAAACTCCTGCACGGGGGGGCGGGGAGGAGGTGGAAGGGGAGGGGGAAGGAAGAGTGGGGAGAAGGGGAGCAGGAGGGTTGAGTTGACTCAACACACTGTGCAGGGGGAACTACTACTGCGTGCAGAGGAGAGGAGGGACCGGGGGAGGGAGAGCAGTTTAGTCCAGCTGGTTACCAAGATTTGAAGGTGGAGGGAGCAGGGCAGAATGTAACAACACAGGACTGTCAGCAATGCCTACAATGCTCTGCTGCTGACCTGAAATGCAACATTGCTGACGTGGAATGGGGAGAGACTGACCTGGAATGGGTCAATGCTGACCTGGAATGCGGCCACAAGCGGGTCCTCTGTGTGGTTGAAGTCGAGAATCGCTGCAGAGCTGCCTGCAGGTGGGCAGATACAGGAGGGGGGGACGGACGAGGCATTGCTGCTGCACACCAGGGAGCACATTCAACGACTCAGCCTCTCTCTTCCCCCACCCCTCCCCTTCCTCTCACCAGCCTTGAGCACGCGGTGAATCTCCTGCAGGGCACGTGGAATGCTGGTAACGTTCCTCAGCCCGTACCCCATCGTGATGGCGTCAAACGAGTTCGCATCGAACGGCAGGGCCAGGGCGTCGCCCTCCACCCACCTGCAACGGGGTGGGTGCGTACGAGGGATGAAATGGTGTGTGGGGGGGGAAGAGGGGAAAAAGGGGGGTTGGTTCGCGCTGCTGACGTTCCTCAGTCCCCGTACGCCATGGTCAGTTTTGGACCAACGCACCTCCCTCCCTCACCCTCTTCCCTGCCCGTTTTACCTTACCTCATGTCCACTCGGCGAGCCGGGTAGCTCTCTTGCTGCTTCTGGGCGGCAACTTTTGAGTCGACTGAAGAGTCACGTCGTTACAATGGCACACAACTCTTTTTCCCCCTCTCAACCCCCTCTTGCCCCCCTCTCACTCCCTCTCCCCCCCATCTCTCGCCCTCTTCCCTCCCTACCTCATGTCCACCCTGCGAGCGGAGTAGCTGGCGTGCTGCTTCTGGGCGGCGACAACGAGCTGCTGGGCGGCAAAGTCGAGCCCCACCACGCTCCCCGAGGGGCCCACCTTCTCCGCCAGCAGCAAGGAGAGATCGCCGCTGCCACAGCAGATGTCCAACGCGGTGTCGCCGGGGCGAGCTCTGAGGGGAGGAACGGGGCAGGGGGAGGGGACCCGGGAGGGGGAAAGGGGGGGGAAGGAGAGGGGGGAGGGGAGGGGGAAGGGAGGGGGAAGGAGAAGAAGGCATGGGGCATGTTCTGTAACAGAGGGAACCTCTCCTTGCTGATTCCCCACCATTCACATGCCACCCGGACGGGCTCTGCGGGAATGGGGAGGCGAGAGGAGGGCGATGGTGAAGTAACAATTGGTACTGGCCATCGCCGTGGCGAAGGGTGATGGGGAGGGGGGAATGAGGGAGAGCCCACTGGCGCAATGGTGCCCTGTACTGTACGCACTCTGATCTGATGGGAGGTTTTGCCAATCTGAGAGCAATTATGAGCTGAATCTAGGCAACGATGTTGGAATTTCGTCCGATTGATATGACTTCATCTGGACACGCTCTGGTCGCTTATCCATCACTCTCTGCTCCCCCTTATCCCCCCATTCCTCCCACCCACCCCTCCACTCCACCTGCTTTACACTCAGTCACTCTCTCTCTCCCCCTCACTGGGTGGGCAGTCACACCCTTGACAACTCACCTGCTCCACCCGACTGTCATTCGCTTCCACACGCGGTGCTGCCCCAGACTCAGCCAATCGTTGAGCTGCACGTGGCAGGCAGGGTAGGGGGAAAGGGGAATTAAGTTGAGACGGGAGAGAGGGGATGGAGAGAAGGCAGAAGGGAGAGCAGTAGTTTCGAATTGGGGAACGGGCAGGGGTTTTGAGAAGGGATGGAAGGGAGAAAGGGGAATGAGATAATGGGTAAGAGGTGGTGGGTGGTGGGTGGTGGTGGGTGGAGTACGATGGGGGGGATAACAGGAGACGCAGTTTGCACGCATGAATCACGCAATACGCATTACTCACATCATCATACATGGGAGCAATGTTATTGAAGATCTTCCGTCGGCTGTCGCTCTGCAGTGCTGACCTCGCGCCATGCGCCACTCAGTGTATGCACATTCCTCACATTCTTCACAAGCCGCGCATTACTCACGTCGTCATACATGGGAGCGATGTTGTTGAAGATCTTCTGTCGGCTGTCGCTCTGCGCTCGCTCCTCCTCGCTCCTCCCTCCCCTCCACCCCGCCTCCCTCCTCCTCTCATCCTCGCTATCAGTCAGGTCCGTCGGATTCACATCGGACGGCCCCTGATCGTCCCACTCCACGCCCGTCGAATCCGCCGCTGCCGCCACTACCACGCATCGCCGCTCGGATAGCGTCTGCAGATTCCCGCTAAGGTTACTTTGACACGTCCGCAAACGCGCGCTCACGGTGCTGCTGCACGTGGCAATCGCGCTGCTGCGACCTAACTTCCCGGTGCTACCTGTGCCGCTCTGAAAGCCTGAATCGACGCGCAGATGCGCGCAGTTCAAAGCAGCGCGGGGACCCGCCGCAGCAGCCGCAGACGCGATGGCGGAAGCCATTCTGTAACGTGATTGGTTGCGCAGATTCTGGTTTGATAAATAACCTTGCCTCCCCTTGTCTTGGGTTTGGTTTCCCGCCAAATCGTGTCAACCTGTTGCACTCTTGCGAGCGGCCATGGGACTTTTCGCGAAAACATATAGCCCCACACTGTAACCAGACCCTGTCTCTTCTCGTACTCATGCGAACAGAAGCCCCTGAGTTTGGCTTGTGTGTCAGTCGAAATCGTGCACTCGTAAAACGTGAACCAATCAGGTGCAGGAAGCAACTGATTCGCTAAGCATAAACACAATCGCATCCTTCGCGACCCACTGAACCATCAACAGAATCGTGTCAGTTTGACAACACCCACTCCTCAGGATGTTCTTCGGATGAAAGTTGACACCCACTCATGAAATGCACGGTCCAGCGCGTACGTTTTCCGTACATTACGGTTCATCCAGTACGGTTCAAAACGGTGCATTTTTAAAACCGCTGTGCACCGCCTGATATCTTTTCAAACCACGACGAATGAACTGTATAGTACCTGTAAACGTACGCGCTGGACCCGCCCTAACTACATGAATTTTGGACAGATTACTGGATCACTAGTCACTGTTCAGAGTAAGGTTGTTTTTTGTTCTTCCGGTATCTAATTTTAAAAGGCTTCAGAAATAACATTGTTTCTAGTATCCCTTGACCATCGTTGCATTTTTTAGGCTTCTCAAAAATCGCTCTTGATTTATTCTCACCTCGCCGTAGATGGAGGGCGACTGGGGGGACTTCCAGTCGGGAGCCAGCGGCTTCCTCTCAGCGCAGAACGCGCCGTCAACTACGGCGGCACCGGCGCAGGCGGAGGGGTCCAAATCGCCGCTAGATCCGGAGCTCTCGGCGAGCGGCGCGGGGTCTAAGCATTCGTCAGACGCGGATTTGACGGCGAGCGGAAAGTCTGCCGCGGAAAGTAGCGACTCGTTTTGGGGGGAGGGGGAGAGCGGGGGTGGCGCGGATGCGGGAATGGACTTCTGGGGGGAGGTGCAGGCGTTGGGGGGAAGCGGGGAAGCGCAGGCGTTGGGGGGAAGCGGGGAAGCGCAGGCGTTGGGGGGAACTGCGGAAGCCCAGGCGACAGATGGGGGAAGCGGTAATGACCACATGGGGCAAATGGCGCGGGGGGCGGAGACTCCGCTTTCTCCGCCTCCCGCATCCACCGTTGACGGCGGTGGAGTTGCGCCGACAGCGGCGGCGGCTGTAGCGGCTCCGTTAGCGGCACCGGTGGCGGCAGCGGTTGCGGCGTCCGCTGGGAGCGGATTAGGGTTCGATCAATCCGGGTTATCCGGGCTTCAGAGTGGGTCCCCTAGCGTTCAGACTGTCGCCAGCGCTGGTTACCACTCGTCGCAAATGACTGCAGGCGGCTCGCATGGACCCAGATCTCCCACGAAAGCTGATCCGCACCTTGCGTCGGATCCTCATTATAAGCACGATCCGATACAGCGACCGGGCGCGCATCACCCGAGCGGGTTTTCCGCCCACATGATGTCTTACTCGCACTCGTCTCCGCTCCGCCCCTCCGCCCCCCACGCCCCACACGCGCTCGACGCGCACCAGCGGAAATCCCCCAACCCCCCGCCTCCCGCCGGTGCCGCCCATCCGCCCTTCCGCGGACCTGCGCCAGCGCCTGCGCTGCACTCCCCCCTCTCCGCGCGCGGCCCTCCCGTCTCCCACCCACAGTCACACCCCCCCAGCTCACACCCGCTACAATCACACCCGCCCTTTCATCCCCCTCCTCCGCACTCCCCCCCGTCTCGCTCCTTGCCCTCCCACCCCCCACCGTCTCACCCTCCCCCGTCGCTTCCCCACCCCCTATCCCACCCTCCGCTGTCACACCCGCCACAGTCACACGCGCCCCTATCCCGCCCCACTCACCCCCCGCCCGGGTACAGACCTCCCCCGCAAGGCCCCCCTGGAACCGCCAAGCCCGCAGGGGGGGCCACCGGGGGAGCAGCTGGGGGGGCAGGAGGGAGGCAGCCGGACGGGGTGATAGGAGCGGGGGTGGGTGCCGCGGGAGGGGCGCTAATGGCTGGCTCTGGCGCTCCTGCTGCTGCCAGCATCACCACCACTAGCAGCAGCAGCACCACGGCCACGGCCATTGGTACCACTAGCACCACAAGCAGCACTGGCACCAGTGGCGGCAGCGGCAGCAGCAGCAGTGCGTTTGCAGCGCGCTCATCCCCGCCGGTCAGCTTTCGCCGCATGTCCAGCCTTGACGTCAAGACCTCCCTCGATGGCCTTGCTGTACTCGCTGTAAGCTGTTCTCGCTGTAAGCTGTACTCGCTGTAAGCTGTACTCGCTGTAAGCTGTACTCGCTGTAAGCTGTACTCGCTGTAAGCTGTGCTCGCTGTAAGCTGTGCTCGCTGTAAGCTGTACTCGCTGTAAGCTGTTCTCGCTGTAAGCTGTACTCTCTGTAAGCTGTACTCGCTGTAAGCTGTACTCGCTGTAAGCTGTACTCGCTGTAAGCTGTGCTCGCTGTAAGCTGGGCTCGCTAATATAAGACGTATTGGTAACAAGTAATTTCTGTGAGCTGCACTTGCTGCAATTTGTAAGGCCTTCGGCACAAGCTCTCTTGTGTTTGATCCCTACTGATGGTACTTATGCTGCATTACATGGCATGGCATGGCATGGCATGGCATGACATGGCGTTGCATCAATCCCACTCATTTCCACTCAATCTCCAGAGGCAAGGCTCATGGCGGGCGATAGTGGACAAGGTGGTGGAAGGATACAAGCTCGCGGGGCTGGCGCAGCAGCTGGCGTTACGCGGTTACCACGTGCTGGCGCTGATGAAGCTGCGCATGTACGGGGCAGCAGCAGAGGAGCTCACGCTGCTGGGGAACCTTGACTCGCCGCAGTACCGCTACGAGGCCCACCCGGGCATGTACCCTGGGAGGAAAGGTGAGCACCTGGATGTTACATGGTTACCATATCCATGTGCTGCTGGCGCTGATGAAGCTGCGCCTGCCTCTCCCATCCCTCCCCGCACTGCCTCTCCCGCCCCTCCCCGCACTGCCTCTCCCGCCCCTCCCCGCACTGCCTCTCCCGCCCCCACCAGAGCTGCCTCATGGGCCTGCGCCCACTGCAGATGCCTGCGCCCCATCATCTCGTCTCTCCGCCCCACACACTCTTCTCTTACCCCCACACCCATCCCTCCCCCGCACTGCCTTCCTACGTCCCCTTTCACTGCAGGGTCCATGCTGCTCCACCCATTGGGCAACCTGCAGGTGCCCAAATGCTGCAGGTCCCCCCTTCCCATTTGGCCGATGCAATGCAATGCTGCAATGTGGGTGCCTCCTCTCCAGTCTGCTTCCCAATTCCTCCGATCTGTGCCCATCCTCACATCGTCCACTGCAGGCTCCATGCTGCCCTTTGCGCTGCGCTGGCTGGCAGCAGAGCTGCCTCACCGCATGGGCAATGCCATGTCTGCGCTCCATCCTCGCCTCTCTCCATCGCACTCCCATCCCTCCATGCACTGCCTCCTCCCCTCCCTCCCCCTTCAGGATCCATGCTGCCCTTCGCCCTGCGATGGCTGGCGGCAGAGCTGCCTCACCGCATGGGCAATCCAGCCCTCACATTGGAGCGTTTATGTGCTCTGCAGGCGTACTGCACAGCTAAGGTGGGTGCAGTGCGGTGAGCCAGGTTTTAGCACTCTGCACTTGTGCACATGGCACATTGCATTTTGCATTCTGCATCTTACATGTTGCCTTAGTCTTCCAGAATACCTCACTGAGTTCCTCAATCCGCCTGTGCCTTGCTGCGTGAATGACAGATGAAGGAGGTTCAGGTGAAAATGGCAGGAGACAGCAAGGGCACACAGGGGAGAGCAGCACCTGCAGATAGCAGCAACAGCAGCAGCAGCAGCATGAGCAAGAGCACGAGCACAGGGACAAGAGAAGGGATGGCAGATGTAATGGCGCCAGAGGATGGTGAAGGCGTGTCTTCTCATGCCAACACCAGCAATGATGCAGGCGATGGCAACCAGCCAGCAACCAGCGGCAGCAACACAAAGGGCAAGTCTCCAGCACCATCCGTACCATCCGCACCATCCGCACCATCCGCACCATCAGCAGCGGCGGCATCGCAGCAGGCTGCGTTGGTGGCGTGTTGGGCGCGCAGGCGGCAGGCAGTGCGGCACGCGCTGGTCTCGCACCACCTGGCACAGCGCGACTACCCCACCGCGCTCCTCTGGCTGCAGCGCCTGCTGCGCTACGAGCCGAGCAACGCCGCCCTGCTCTCGCGGTACGGCCTCGTTCGGCTGCAGCTGGGGGACGTGGAGGGCGCCAGCGCCGCGTTCGGATTGGTGGAGAAAATGGTGGTGCATCGAGAGGTGGAGATGGAGAGTGAGGGAGGGAGTGGGGGAGGAGGAGGGGAGGGGGCGGGGGAGGGGGAGGGAGGAGGGGATTTAACAGGAGATGCGAGTAACACAGCAGGAGCAGGAGCAGGAGCAGGAGCAGGAGCAGGAGCAGGAGGAGGAGGAGGGGGAAGCAGTGATGGGGGTGTGGGGGCAGGGCGGGTGACGGCAGCAAATGTGGGCGAGATGAAGAGGCTGGTGCGGCTAAACAAAGCTCTGGTGCACTTTGCTCGCAAGGAGCACGGGCAGGCGCTGCAGCTGTTCACTGCGGTGACTAAAGAGGATCCCACCAACTCCATTGCTGCGAATAACAAGGTGAGACAATGTGGTAACCAGGTGACTTGGTAAAAGAGCCAGGTGCTTCGGCCATTTCAAAAGGCACTTTGCTCGCAAGGAGCATGGGCAGACGCTGCAGCTCTTCTCTTCCCAAGGAGGACCTCACGAACCGCATTGCTGCCATGCCAACAATAAGGTGAGGCGGTGTGGTAACCAGGTTACATGGTGGGGTGACCAGGTGATACTGCCAACGCAGAAGGAAGTTTACAGGGTACAGATGATGTGGTAATTAAGTTACATCAGATGTATCCCCTGTTGTGCTGCACTTCGCATGGTTCCATCCATCTTCATCCGCCTTTATTCCTCCTATCCCCACAACCCTGCCAAGCAGGCCCTCTGCCTGATGTACGGCCGAGATCTCGCGACGGCGGTGCGGGTGCTGGAGGACCAATTGCAGGCGAGCCCGCTGACAGCTGTCGACGAGACAGTGGTGCTCAACCTGTGCTCCATGTACGAGCTGGCGGCGTCTGATACGCTCAACGCCAAGAGCACGCTCAGCAACTGGCTCACGCGGCTTGCTCCCGATGACTTTGACTTTGCCTGCACTAGGCTGTAGCGGACTTTCAAGGCATCTCAAATTCACAAAGCACGCAGCAACTGGCTCACGCGGCTTGCTCCTGACGACATTGATTTTGCCTGAACTCGGCTTTAGGGAAGGGGAGGCATGCACTCGGCTGTAGCATATAGGAGGTGTGCAGTACAGGGTATGGAGTAGGGGAGTGCGGAAGTAGGTGTGTGAACGAATTCACTTCGGCATGCTGTTACCGTGTTGATGGGTAGGGACTTCCATTAATCTCTGTTGGGTGGGCTGGGCAGCACACAGCATTGCCAGGAGTAGCAACACAAGTGGCAATGTCCCACGTTTGAGAGGACATGTTGCCATGTCAGAAGAAAGTAGCCTCTGTTGCATGTTCCTTATTGTTTTGCATGAAATAACGAACAAATGTGAAAGGTCCCCCTATTCTGTGATCACTTCATTCCCTGTTTTTCTGCAACGCTGCAGCATGTGCTTCCCTAGTGTGTGCTACCTAGTTTCAATCGTCCATGCTGAGACCTAGTTGTCTGATTAATGACCTAACCAGAGCTACCATCACTATCTAGGCAATTATACTAATCAAATATATAAATCTAAAACCATTCTGGGCCCCGGTCTTCGGTCTTGGGTCTTCTGGGCCCCTCTTGGCCACTAGGGGGGTTAACCCCTAGTGTTACACCCACACACCGCGCTGAGGTGGGGACCCTTCGTGTGGGACCGCAGCCCCTAAACGACACGAGCCGGGCTGCAGCGTCCCACAGCCCAGCTCAGACCAGGTGGCGTAACACCTGGCCCGGCGAAGGCGGGGTGAGGAGGCCGTCAGAGTTCAGGGAGCGTCCCCCCATCCCTCATCAGAGCACTCACTCACACACAGGGGCGCTTCAGGCGCAGGCCGCGTCCGACCCAACGCCGTCAGCCACCCCTGCCGCACAACACCTATGCCGCAGTCGGGGGCGGTCTTCGGGTCCTGCCAGCTGCAGAGCGACACACACCACAAGACAAACACAGCACACGATCAAGTGAAACAGGCACGAGAATACATGTAATGCAAAAAACAGAAAGAAAGCAAGACAAATTTGAGAACGAAAGCAAGACAAAACGGACAAGGGAAGAAGGGTACCTCTGTCCGAAAAAGGATCAAGTGAAACATGCACGACAAATACATGAAATGCAAAAAAACAGAAGGAAAGCAAAGCGGAAACGGACAAGGGAAGAGAGGCTTACCCCGCTGCAGCGATGGAGCAGCACCTCACCTCCGTCCGTGCCGCCCGCCGTGTCGTCTCCACGCTGCCCGCCATGCTGAAGGGAATGGAAGGGGGGGGTTAACCAGAGGGACGCCTCTCGATGCGCGCGCGCTGCCCCGTCGCCCTCCTCGCCCCACGAGTAGACCTCAAGGGAATGGAAGGGGGGGGGGGGGGGGGGGAGGGAAGAGAGACAAACAGAAAAAGGATCAAGTGAAACATGCACGACAAATACATGAAATGCAAAAAAACAGAAGGAAAGCAAAGCGGAAACGGACAAGGGAAGAGAGGCTTACCCCGCTGCAGCGATGGAGCAGCACCTCACCTCCGTCCGTGCCGCCCGCCGTGTCGTCTCCACGCTGCCCGCCATGCTGAAGGGAATGGAAGGGGGGGGTTAACCAGAGGGACGCCTCTTGATGCGCGCGCGCTGCCCTGTCGCCCTCCTCGCCCCACGAGTAGACCTCAAGGGAATGGAAGGGGGGGGGGGGGGGGGAGGGAAGAGAGACAAACAGAAAAAGGATCAAGTGAAACATGCACGACAAATACATGAAATGCAAAAAAACAGAAGGAAAGCAAAGCGGAAACGGACAAGGGAAGAGAGGCTTACCCCGCTGCAGCGATGGAGCAGCACCTCACCTCCGTCCGTGCCGCCCGCCGTGTCGTCTCCACGCTGCCCGCCATGCTGAAGGGAATGGAAGGGGGGGGTTAACCAGAGGGACGCCTCTCGATGCGCGCGCGCTGCCCCGTCGCCCTCCTCGCCCCACGAGTAGACCTCAAGGGAATGGAAGGGGGGGGGGGGGGGGGAGGGAAGAGAGACAAACAGAAAAAGGATCAAGTGAAACATGCACGACAAATACGTGAAATGCAAAAAAACAGAAGGAAAGCAAAGCGGAAACGGACAAGGGAAGAGAGGCTTACCCCGCTGCAGCGATGGAGCAGCACCTCACCTCCGTCCGTGCCGCCCGCCGTGTCGTCTCCACGCTGCCCGCCATGCTGAAGGGAATGGAAGGGGGGGGTTAACCAGAGGGACGCCTCTTGATGCGCGCGCGCTGCCCCGTCGCCCTCCTCGCCCCACGAGTAGACCTCAAGGGAAGGGGAGGGGGGTAGGAGGGTAGAGAGACAAACAGGAAACAGGATCAAGTGAAACATGCACGACAAATACATGAAATGCAAAAAATAGAAAGAATGCAAGGCGGAAACGGACAAGGGAAGAGAGGCTTACCCCACTGCAGCGATGGAGCAGCACCTCACCTCCGTCCGTGCCGCCCGCCGTGTCGTCTCCACGCTGCCCGCCATGCTGAAGGGAATGGAAGGGGGGGGTTAACCAGAGGGACGCCTCTTGATGCGCGCGCGCTGCCCCGTCGCCCTCCTCGCCCCACGAGTAGACCTCAAGGGAAGGGGAGGGGGGTAGGAGGGTAGAGAGACAAACAGGAAACAGGATCAAGTGAAACATGCACGACAAATACATGAAATGCAAAAAATAGTAAGAATGCAAGGCGGAAACGGACAAGGGAAGAGAGGCTTACCCCACTGCAGCGATGGAACAGCACCTCACCTCCGTCCGTGCCGCCCGCCGTGTCGTCTCCACGCTGCCCGCCATGCTGAAGGGAATGGAAGGGGGGGGTTAACCAGAGGGACGCCTCTTGATGCGCGCGCGCTGCCCCGTCGCCCTCCTCGCCCCACGAGTAGACCTCAAGGGAATGGAAGGGGGGGATTAAGCAGAGAAGTCCTCTTGCTGCCCCGCCGCGCTGCCCCCTCGCCCCACGTGCTGAAGGGAATGGAAGGGGGAGGAGTGAGGACGGAGTGCGGGTCAGGAGGACGTGGGACAGAGGCATGGAAGAGGGCAGATCCAAGGGCCAAGGTGCTGGAGAGGTATGTGAGTAGCCCGCAGAGGCCGAGGGTGGGCCCCGTGCGTCAGGACAAGACCAAGAGAGAGCTGGGGCCCCCCCCACTCTCAAATGATCGAGTCCGTCAGCCCCTCGTCTCTGCATGGCGCTCACTCTCCATTCAACAACACCCCTCCTTGTAATCGCCCTCAATTCCAGCCCGTCAGTCTCTCCATCTCGTTCCTCCGCCTCACCCCATGGACGCAGGGGGAGAAGCCAGCACACGTGGGAGGAAGACGCCTCGTCGCAGCGCTGTCTCAGCGGCTTGCCTCCGAGCGCGTGGTCAGCAGGGCGGGTAGGAGGCAGCCACACGCCTGTGACTGCCGGCCGTGCGTCATCCCAACACGCTCGCTCCCCCACATCCTGTGCGCACGTAGGAGAGAGAAAAATGAAGGAGTGAAGAATGCAGCGATACAGAAATCTGACAAAGAATGCAGCGATACAGAAATCTGACAAAGAATGCAGGCAACGGAAAACGCTAGATGAAAAAAGAACTGAAAAGCATGCATCAGGTGAAGGTGGTGTGAGTGGCACACACTAGGCAGTCAGCAGACACTTACAACCGAACACGAGTTGACTCAAAAGTCAACGGCAGTAAGCAGCAGGCACTCTTACAACCGAACACGAGTTGACTCAAAAGTCAACGGCAGTAAGCAGCAGGCACTCTTACAACCGAACACGCAAGCACACACAAGGCAGTAAGCAGCAGGCACACTTACAACCGAACACGCAAGCACACACAAGGCAGTAAGCAGCAGGCACACTTACAACCGAACACGCAAGCACACACAAGGCAGTAAGCAGCAGGCACACTTACAACCGAACACGCAAGCACACACAAGGCAGTAAGCAGCAGGCACACTTACAACCGAACACGCAAGCACACACAAGGCAGTAAGCAGCAGGCACACTTACAACCGAACACGCAAGCACACACAAGGCAGTAAGCAGCAGGCACACTCACGAGCTCAGGAGGATGCAGTGAGGCAAGCTCAGGAGGATGCAGTGAGGCAAGCTCAGGAGGATGCAGTGAGGCAAGCTCAGGAGGATGCAGTGAGGCAAGCTCACGAGGATGCAGTGAGGCAAGCTCACGAGGATGCAGTGAGGCAAGCTCACGAGGATGCAGTGAGGCAAGCTCACGAGGATGCAGTGAGGCAAGCTCACGAGGATGCAGTGAGGCAAGCTCACGAGGATGCAGTGAGGCAAGCTCAGGAGGATGCAGTGAGGCAAGCTCAGGAGGATGCAGTGAGGCAAGCTCAGGAGGAGAAGGCGAGCAATGAAAGAACGAGTGCAAACAAGAGCGTGAAAATATCAACAGAACGGAGATCTCTTAGCCGTATTCAGGAGGGGTCGAAGCTGCATGCACGCGCGCTCGCCAGCAGCGGCACTTCTCCCTCCTCGCCTCGCCGTTCCTCCACAGGCGAGCAGTGGTCAGCAGGGCAGCAGTGGTGCCTGCCGTGCGTCATCCCCCTGCCGCCATCCCACAGGTGCGGTGCAGCAGCCTCCGCCCCTCCAGCAGTGCGCACAGGTGCAGTGCAGCACCCATCCATCCTCCTCCACCCACCCATCGCTCCACTCCACCTCGCCGCCTCCTCGTCTGCTCCCCCGAGCGCGTGGTCAGCAGGGCGGGTAGGAGGCAGCCACACGCCTGTGACTGCCGGCCGTGCGTCATCCCAACACGCTCGCGTCCACGTCAGCCACACGCCGTCCACGTCAGCCACACGCCCACACGCCTCCCCTCCCATTGCATGCGCTTGCGTTGAGTGTGCTGCATGGAACAACAACAGCGCAGGCGGGGTGGTGGGTGGCAGCTGCAGGGCGGGCACCAAAGGACCGTACCGTACCTGAGCACACCTACTTACGCATGATGCCGCCGTTACCTGAACACACCTGGGGAATGGTCCAATGGTGCCGCCGCTGCGAGCTGGAGGAGGAGGAACGAGTGGCGCGAGGAGGAGGAGGCGGCTATGAGGGCGGAAGCGAGCAGTGAGCGAACAAGTGCCAACAAGTGAGTGAATAAACAAGATATCTTAGCCTTATTTCAGCAGGCAGGGGTCGAGGCAGCGGCGCCCGTTCGTCCTTGCCTCAGCCGTCGCTCCGTCCGCCTCCGTCCTCCTCTCGCCGCTACCGCAGTTTGCCGCTCGCCGCAGTCCGTTCGGCAGCCTCAGGTGCAGCATCGCCTCTAGATCCAAGGAGCAGCATCGCCTCTAGATCCAAGGAGCAGCATCGCCTCTACATCCAAGGAGCAGCATCGCCTCCAGGTCCCCAGCAGCTCCTCGCCAGCAGCAGCAGCCAGGCCTCAGTGGTGAGCAGCATCGCCTCAGTGGTGAGCAGCATCGCCTCAGTGGTGAGCAGCATCGCCTCAGTGGTGAGCAGCATCGCCTCAGTGGTGAGCAGCATCGCCTCAGTGGTGAGCAGCATCGCCTCAGTGGTGAGCAGCATCGCCTCAGTGGTGAGCAGCATCGCCTCAGTGGTGAGCAGCATCGCCTCAGTGGTGAGCAGCATCGCCTCAGTGGTGAGCAGCATCGCCTCAGTGGTGAGCAGCATCGCCTCAGTGGTGAGCAGCATCGCCTCAGTGGTGAGCAGCATCGCCTCAGTGGTGAGCAGCATCGCCTCAGTGGTGAGCAGCATCGCCTCAGTGGTGAGCAGCATCGCCTCAGTGGTGAGCAGCATCGCCTCAGTGGTGAGCAGCATCGCCTCAGTGGTGAGCAGCATCGCCGATGAAGCAGCAGCAGCATCGCCGATGAAGCAGCAGTCGTTGCTCCTCATCAAGATCAGTAGCCGTTGCTCCTCATCATTAGGCTCAGAAGGAGAGCAGCGAAGTGCAGCAGCAAGCCTTGGACCTGCACAAATCAAGCCGGTCAGCATCAGTGCCTGAACATTCAGTCGCTAACGAATAAAAGCAACTCGGGGAACATCACTCGGGATTTCATAGGAATGCTGAAACAATGCTCGGAATTTCAATACACTGAAACATTGCTTCAACTTACCATGGCGGAATGCTTCGTAGGAACTTCATGAACTTCGTGGCTTCCTCGCCAGCAGCGTCATTTCTCCGTGCAGCTCCAGGCTCTGAATCGCACTGACGTTCGCGCACCTCCAGGCTGCTGAATCGCACTGACTGTGCAGCAGCGGTGGCCGAACCCTCCCTTGGGTCACCTGCACAAGTCGAATCACACACACATCATCAATCTGTGAGCATTCAGGTATCGAACAAAATAAAAACAACGAAGAATCACCCAAGCTTTCAATACGCAAAGCACTGGAAGATTGCTTTGAAAAAATGCTTGAACTTACCATGGCGAACTGAATGGTGAGTATCCCATGTGTGTATATCATGGACCATGGAACGAGGTATTCGCGCTTCGTCGTCGGATTCGTATGGACGTCGTCAGATGCATCGTCGGACTAGCATGCGGAAGTCGCCAGCATCCACAATGACGCTCGCGATTGGTCGCCATCATCCTCAAATCGTTGCATGCGGTTGGTCGCCAGCATCCGCAATGTCCGTCGTCGCTTGTCCGTCGTCGCTAGTCCGTCGTCGCTTTTCCGTCGTCGCTTGTCCGTCGTCGCTTTTCCGTCGTCGCTTGTCCGTCGTCGCTTTTCCGTCGTCGCTTGCTCGCCGTTCTTATGTAGTTGAGATGTCAAGAAGAATAGCGTCACGACACGTTGATGGTTCCGGCTACTAACGCGTTGATGATGAAGCCGTAGTAGGGATCACGCGAATCGAAATTTTAAATTCTAGTCGTGAGAAGAACATCTCTTAGTAGTATCAGCCGCCAGGATTCTTAGATATCTCCAGAAAACTAATTCCCGACCAAATTCCGTTTTGTAAACGAAGCGTTTAACTCCAAGCAGAAGGGGATCATGGAGATTGAGACAATACTAAATCCATGGCGAGATGAGAAGACATGGCGACGGGAGCCACGGTGAAATTACGTGGACGGTACTTTTCACGAGATTCATGGCGGCCTTGAGGTCTGGTGAGTAGAGAAGTCGGAACAATGGAGGTGTGGGTATGTGGGAGAAAACGGAGTGGAAGGCCTTGGGAATATGGGATTGTCGCTTGACGAGGGTGACCAGCGTCAACCCACAGTGGTGATTCTCCCTTGCTGGGTGAGGGGGTGGTGCTGGCTCGAGGGTGACCAGCGTCAACCCACAGTGGTGATTCTCCCTTGCTGGGTGAGGGGGTGGTGCTGGCTCGCAGGTGACCAGCGTCAACCCAAAGTGGTGATTCTCGCTCGCTGGGTGAGGGGGTGGTGTTGGCTCGACGGTGACCAGGGTCAAACAAAGGTGGTGTCAGTGGGTGGGGAAGGATTGCGCCAGGCGGAGCGCGGGTGACAGAAAGTGGCGGGGGGAGAGGTGGGTTAGCGCGTCAAACAGTTTGTTTTTTGGTAGAAAGAGATCTCGCGGGAAAGGAAAGAGTGTTCGGTTTCGGAGTTAAAGTGCTGGAGTTTACAAGAAACTGGTGACAAGCGGCAATAACCTGGTCACTTGGCACCCAAATGAATCGGCTATTTTCAACCCCGGGATGCGTGGAAAACATTTTGCCGGCAGCATGCGGATGTGAATATGACATCAGCGGAGCGCGGAGTTCAGTGACGGGCCCGCGCGCCAGATGTGTCTGCGCGCCAAGGTTCACTGCGGGAACTGGCGCAGTAACCTTCCGCACTGACTCCAAATCATGAGGTTTGTCTGAAGATGGTGAACACGAAAACACAGTTCGCGAATCAGCGACGATTTTGCACACCAAACTGCGAAGCGGGAATATGTGCGCCGAGCGGGTGTTTGCGCGGGTGTCAGACTACACTGCAGAGGGTGACCTAGGTGATGGCGGAGCTTTAGCGGTTCTCCCTAGAAATCATCTCCCCTGGTGATGTTGATCGGACGGCTGAGTATATGCGTGTGGGCCCATCTTACGTCATCATTCAGTACAGGAAGAGATTGTGGGGTCATCCTCGGCACCTCTACAATGGAATGAAATATCAACTGTAGAAACTTTAGTTCAACAGAAAGGTATACGAAAGATGATTCACATTGAGCATTCGTCTGGGTGGTAGATTGGCGTTGCTTGCAAGATTTTAGTTCGGGTGGTAGCATGGTTCACGGATGCAAATTCCCCGTGGTAGCATGGTTCACGCTTGCGCATTTGTTTCATGGATTTCTATTTCAAATCCATAAAACTGAAATAAATCGACCCAAATTTCCTTTAGTATGTTGGGCCAGTTAAATTTCATATAATGGTTCAACTACTATATCGGTTCGCCTTGTTGCGTCCGTAGCGAGATTCGGCAGTCGAACCATACCTGCACCGAAACCGTCAAGTCTGCATATGCGACGACGACTGTTTGAGTCGCACAAACGCGTTTCTGGAAAGTTTGACGAATCGCTCGAAGTCATGTGCATCGTTTCCCGATCGTTGGGTTTCCCGAATCCCTCGCATGCGGTCGTCCCGCCCTTGAACCTTGGATGCGTTCGTCACCGCCAAAGCCAAGGCCGAGCCTTGCAGCGGTGGTTGGTGGTTGGTTGGTATGGTAGGTGAGTAGGCCTTCCCGCCAAGTCGAACCTGCTTCCCAGAAGCAGCAGCCAGGCGTATTCGGTCCCTGCTGGCAATCAGCGAGGGAGGGATGAATTCGCATTCATAGCTAGACCCGCCGACAGCTGTTAGTTCATTCAGCTGACCAGCTTCCAGTTTCTCACGCCGTTTCTTTCAGCCTTTCCTGTTAGCTTGGAGTACGTTTGCCTCCTCAGTGTGTTAACGATACGTCCAGAATGGTTAGTACTTCTTCTGGGCTTCGTGCGTCTTCTTGATCAGTTGACTTCTCTAAAGAGATTCTGACAACGAACGTCCACCTTGGTCTTGCAGACGACTTCCAAGCGATTGGCTGAGAAGAAGAACTCCGCTTTTCACAAGAACATCACGAAACGAGGGAACGTTCCTGATAGCGTCACGAAACGGAGTGAGAAGTTTCCGGTCAGCGTCTGGGTTCTCGGTTTCTTCATCTTCGTTGTCATTGGCTCGTGTAAGTGTGTAATTGCTAACGAACACGCAAATGAATTGAACTTTACTTACCAATGGAATAAGACTCTACTTTTGTTTCTTCTCGGGCTGTGCAGCTCTTTTCCAAATAATCCGCAACGCTCAGTCAAGGGCGGTTGAGTAAGAACTTCGGACGACTAATGGTCTTCACCAAGGCTCGCTTCCTGGACATATTGCGAGACTATGTGCATTCTTTACCCTATAGCTAGTTTAATTCGCCCCCTCACTGTGGGTTCTGGTTTGTGGCCGCCTCTTCTGGATCTGGAATGGATTGCCTCTCATTGGTAACTTCGGGTCGGATTCAGCATCAGACATCAACTTCGTGTTGATCCTTTCACACGATATCTTACCGGAGCTTCAATGCATTTACAACTAGATGAAATCCGTGTCTGCACTGGTATGTCCGTCGCTCTACGCCCATGTGCGTCTCCTGTTGCTGGTAATTTCTGGTGCCTTGCTTCGATCTATAGCGAATTGTTTCTTGATTTCAAAGTTGTTACGAATAGTAATATCTTAGTATTGCTGTGCACTCCTCACCGCAGCAAGAGAAGCATGCACTATCGAGAAGGAACACGAAGCGTCAGACGGTTGGAATTGAATCGAAGCGTCAGATGGTTACAGAACATCTGGACCGTCAGGAGCAGACGGCATCGGGCAGCCGCAGGCAGGATGGTTTTGGCGGGAACAGTTACGAAACTGTACGCGCCGCACGGTTGGGAATGTATTTGAATAAGGGAATGTACCCCGTAGAGTACATGACTAACTAGGTCGTTTCGTCTTCCCTGTACTCATATTTATATCTGCTGTATTTGCATGTTTTAATCATCTCAAAGCATTTTACATTCACTCTGCTATTGAGGTCAAGGGCCCACCAACATTACTTTCCTGCGTGCGAACCTTCCTGGGTAGATCCTAGGTGGCGATCAACTTCTGGTCGCAGCATGGTATGAGAGCAGCTCAGGAATCCTTCGCACTGCCACTCCCGAAAATTACGACATTCGGAAAGTGGCGTCCGGCACACGCTCGCGTACGAGGATGGCCGGAGGATCTGGTGGTCAGACTAATCTGACGGCTGAAGCGCAACCCAATCCGGCTGCGACAAGCGAGAACACAACGACGATCGGCACCGAAGTCCTCGCACAACTCCTTCAGCGACTCACCAACCTGGAGCAAGGCCTCCAAACATTGCGGAACGGCGACGCGGGAACATCCTCGCAACCCTCGCAACCGGCCCCAACCGGCCAGAACGCCGCCCCGCACACATTCTCCCTCGACACCAATGGCTCAACCCCCAAAGCTCCCCGTCCCAGTGAAGAGGCAATTCTCTCCGCTCAATCAAGGTTTCTCAGCATATCAAAAATAAAGACAAGTACCTGTTTTGACGGCAGGGATTTTTATACCTGGAGCTTCGAATTGGAGCTCTTGCTGCAGAACGCCCAAATCTTCCATTACTTCGACGGGAGCTACGCGGAGCCTGCTGAGGACACCGACGACGCCAAGGCGAGGTACTACAACGAATCGCTGATGGCGTACGGGGTGCTCCTGCGGAACATGTCGCCAGCGGAGCAGTTGAGCATTCGCTCATACAAGACATCGGCTGCTCCAGCCCTCGACGCTTGGCGCCATCTCAACGGCGTGTATCAGCCGAAGGACTCTGTCTCTTCGAGCCGATTGCTCCTGCAACTACTGGAGACCAAAATGGCCCCAGGGAAGAAGGCCAACAGTTACATCAATCGCTGTCGAAGCCTTCGCGACCAAATCGCGAAGCTGGGAAGTTCGATTTCGGAGGAAATTTTCGTGAATATCGTGCTTCAAGGGCTCGGCCCAGAGTGGCGGCCCTGCAAGGCGCTTCTTCGACAGCAGGGGGTCATCTCGGAGGCCGCCCTTTGCGCCGCCCTTCTCGTCGAACAGAGGGATATGGATCAGCAGCGACCAGCGCCGCGACGAGAACGCGAACGGCTCGCCTTCTACGCCGACAACAACGAAGAGCGACGGCCGAGGCGCCTCTACTGCAAAATCTGCAGAAATTTCGGGCACTTGGCGGATCGATGTAATTACCGATCTCGCCCTCGCCAGTCCAATCCGAGCACTTGGTCCGGCCGACAAGACGCACGAGGCGACGTGCGTCCAGCCCAGGGGCATCAACCCCCACCCGCGCGCAACCTGAACCCAGGGATTCAGCATCAGCAGCAGCAGCCGTCATCGACTGCCCCAGTTCGCAACGTCATGAGCAACATGGCCATGACAGGCGAGTCGCGTCGTCGCCGCGTGCGCTCACCTTCACCTGAGCCAGCACCACACCCCATTGGCGCATTCACCAACAACAACCCATTCAGCCCGCGCCGCGACTACACCGACGACGACGACCAGGACTGGAATCTCCCAGTCCCGCTGCTCGAAAGTCCCCCGCACGTCCCTGATATGCGGGTGGCGCCACTTGATTGGCTCACGCGCGAGCAATTTTTGAAGTTCGACACTCCGCATATCGTCACGCCGCGATTGGCGCTGCTCGCATGTGACGACAACAAGCGCTACAACACCTGGTACCTGGACAGCTGTTGCGGCCAGCACATGGTGGGCTCCGAGCGTTACATATCCAACGCCGTCCCCACCCCTACAGTCACTTACGTCACCGTGGCGAACAACACGCGCCTGCGCGCAAGCGCACAAGGCATTGTCGTGCTCAAAGCACGTGGAAGCCGCACGCACATCACGCTTAACGATGTGCTGATCGTCCAGAACCTGCGCTTCAACCTCCTGTCCGCCGCACAGCTCATGGATTGCGGCGTCGACCTCAGCACGGATCGCGCGACGCGAGAGATCCTGCTGCACTACGAATCGCGCAACTTTCCCCGCAGGCAAATCGGACGAGCGCACTCCGAAAATGGAGTGTATGTCCTAGATTTCGACATTCCCGATTGCAGCGGCGACTCGCACGAATTGATTGATCTCGTGCCACTGCGCTTCGAACACATCCACCGCAGGGATTGGAAGCACCCTGACGGCAGACCGTGGGTGCCGCATCATCCCCACCCACGCGAAACGGCGCTGCACAACCCCGATCCAGATGGCATCTGCAGGGATTGTCACACGCCGACGGCATCAACGAGCGCGATTGCCGGCCGCGGACTCGCCGCCATCGCTGAAGCAGAGCGCCACGCGCCCCCAGAGGAAGGGATGTCGCAGCTCGAGCTTGAAGTCACTACCCACGGCGTTTTCGGCACGCCAGAGCATCCTCTCATCGGTCCCCCCTCACAACACCTTCAAGGCATGCTGCGCGGAACTGGCGTCGGCACCTTTGATGCCCATGGCGAGCCGCGACCCTACACCTACGAGAAGTTTCTGGACATCTACTCTCATCGACGCGCCTCGTCGAAGAAACTTACCGTGGAACAAGAGGAAGAACTGGCACGGCGCGAAGCTGAGGAGCTTCGCCAGCAAAGCCTCGCCGAAGCGCGCGGGACATTCGCTTGCGGCGCTTGGGGAGCCGAAGCGGAAGAAAGTGCCTCCAATGAAGGGGGGTGGGGAAGCGCTGGAGGATGGGGAACAAGTGACACTAGCAGCTGGGGAGACAACGACGGAACCTGGGCCAACGCGGGCGGCGGATGGGGCGCCGCAACTGGCGCCGACAATAGCGGCTGGGGTACTTTCCGCGAAGAACGAAAGGGGGGAGAGGATGAAGCTGAGGAAACTGAGGCAACACCCGCAGTCGTTCCTCTTGGTCGTCCCCCGCGCCATATCCCACTCGCACCACCTCCTGCTGACAACCCCCCGCATCGCGATTCATGGGACACCATCAACTGGGGCAACGAGCCGTCAACCCCGCGTCGCACCGTCTACGGACCCGCCCCTGAGCCGCGCGAACCCACCTTCGTGCCTGGAACCATCCCTGGCACCAACATTCCGCTCTCTGAGATTCGCGACAGAGAGTTCTTGGCGCTGATGCTGACCACCGCGGTAGAAGAGGAAGAAGCAGAGGGAGTAGCAGCAGAACCTGCTCCTGTACCTGACGAAGACCCTGAGGAAGCGCGCGCGCGCTACATGCGCACCTCCGGTTTTCGCGCTGACGATGCACTCTGGCACCAGCGCCTCGGACATCCTTCACGCGCGACGCTGAAAAACTGCATCGACGCAGGCGTCTTCGCTCCTGGCGCACTCCTGCGCCCTGATGGCTCTGAAGTAAGAGGCGCGACGCATCCGCGCAATTGCACCGTCTGCCCTGAAGCTGCGCTGAGCCACCAGCCGTTCCCGCTGCTCGAACCTGGGACGAACCGCTACCCCAAGCTGCACAAGGTGTACAGCGACTTCCTGAACGTGGGGCACTGAGGAATCGAGGACGAGATGTACACGCTTACCTTCATCGACGCTGGAACGCGTTACGTGTGGGTTGTAAACGTGGAATCGCGCGACAGAGCTTACGAAGTATTTCGCCTCTGGCTGGCGCATGCGGAGCGGCAATCTGGCAAGAAGCTCAAAATCTGGCAATCTAACGGCGCGACAGAGTTTAGGAGCAACCAGATGCAGACCTTCCTGACGCAAAAGGGGATCGAGCACCATATTTCTCTCCCCTACGCGCACCAACAGCAGGGCGTAGCCGAGCGCACGAACCGCACGCTGATGACAAAGGTCCGCACGCTGATGAAGCAGTCGAAACTGCCGCCGACCTACTGGACCTACGCGATGCACCACGCCGTGCGGGTGCATAACTTACTCTCAACCACCGCAATCACCGGCAACCTGTCCCCGCACGTCAAGTGGACTGGGACGAAGGGGGACACATCGATGCTCCGCGTGTGGGGATGCATGGTGCAGTACCGCCCGCCTTCGTCAACCATCGGCAAATTCGCCAGCCGCGTGCGCTGGGGAATTCATCTCGGCATCAGTCACGAGTACAAGGCGTGGATCGTGCTGGACCTCCTCAGCCAGAAAACCGCCCATGCTCGCGACGTAATCTTCTACGAACGCCTCTTCCTCGAACAATTCCGCCACGACGAGCAGACGAACGCGAACCGCGTTTACGCCAACGATGGTCACAGCTACGCAACACCTGAAGACGAAGCCGCTGCAGCAATCTTGGAGCAGGACACGAGGGGCGAGTTCACATGGGAGAATCGGCGCAGCAGCGACGACGACGACGATGATCCCTCGGGAGGAGGAATGGGCGGAACAGGTGGAAGCGGAACAGGCGGAAGCGGCAGAGGCACAGCACCACCAGCACCACCTGAACCGGAGAGCGATGACGACGATGTGCAGGAAGTCATCCCGCAAGGGCGCCACGACAGCACCGTCTCAGGACTGCAGTTGCTCGGGCTTCACATCGCAACCTCGAAAGCGCCGCGTGTCATCGAGCCTCGAAACCCGCGCGAAGCTCTCTCCGGACCACACAGCAAGGAATGGTGCGAGGCGATGGACGCGGAAATTGTCAGATTTATATGACATAGCTGCTGTAGGCTGTAGTGGGGTAGCACATATGGGGTACAGTTTTCTAGGGTTTGTACTTGTACCCAACTTTCCCTTAGTCAATCCCATTTCCTCGACATTTCACATGGTATAGAGCGGGTTCCCTCGTGGGAACGCTTCCTAGGGCCCACCAATCGATTTTTTTTTTTTTCCTGCCCGGAGCGCGCTTCGCTCCTGCCCGAGTCGCGCCCCGCGTGCCCTCCCTACCGTCGCGCCCTCTCTAGGCCCCTTACGGCCCCTTCGCGTCGCCCTTAGCGGCTCCTCTGACGGCCCTTCCAGCCGCCCTTACGGCCTCTCGTGCCGCCCTTACGGCCCCTCGCGCCGCCCTTCCGGCCCCTCGCGCCGCCCTTACGGCCCCCTACGGCCCGTCGCCGCCCTTCGCGGCCCCTCGAGCCGCCCTTCACGGCCCGTCGCCGCCCTCCGCGGCCACCCGCGGCCCCTTCACGGCCGGTCGCCGCCCTCCGCGGCCCCTCGCGCCGCCCTTCACGGCCCGTCGCCGCCCTCCGCGGCCACTCGCGGCCCCCCCCCCCCTTCACGGCCGGTCGCCGCCCTCCGCGGCCCCTCGTGCTGCCCTTCACGGCCCGTCCGCCGCCCTTCGCGGCCTCTCTCGGCCCGCCGTCGCCGCCTCTACAGCAGCAGCAGCTGCAGTCGCTACAGCGGCCGCGGTCGCCGTCCCAGCAGCAGCAGCATCCGCCGCCCCAGCAGCAGCACCCGCCGCCACTGCAACCGCGGCCGCCGCCGTCCCTGCAGGAGCGGCCGCCGCCGCCCCTGCAGCAGCAACTGCCGCCGCCGCTGCAGCAGCGGCCGCCGCCGTCCTGTGAGCAGCAGCCGCCGCTGCCCCTGCAGCAGCCGATCCGCCCGAGCCGCCGAACCGCCCGAGCCGCCGAGCCGCCCGAGCCGCCGAGCCGCCCGAGCCGCCGAGCCGCCGAACCGCCCGAGCCGCCGAGCCACCCGAGCCGCCGAGTCGCTGAGCTGCCGAGCTGCTGGTGCTGCCGAGCCGACGAGCTGCCGAGCCGTCCGAGCCGCCCTGTCCTCTACCCTCGGTCCGTCTCGCCTGCCCGGTAAGAACAGCACCTCTACTACTGCGCTGCTCTTACCCTACTGCTAGTGCTGCCAGTCTACTGCTGTCATGGCTACCCCCAGTGTCCTCGCTTTTTGTCAGAATCCCAACCACTAGACCATTGGGATAAAAGGGCTTGTTAAGTAGCGGATCAGTGCGCCCATAACCCCCCAGGACAACAAGCCTGTAACCCTTCCGTAGGATCAATCGGGGATCACCAGTGGACCTTTGACACCCCCCCGCACTGGGATGCCCGAAGTACACACACTGGGATTCGAACCCGAGACCGCTCTGATACCATGTCAGAATCCCAACCACTAGACCATTGGGATAAAAGGGCTTGTTAAGTAGCGGATCAGTGCGCCCATAACCCCCCAGGACAACAAGCCTGTAACCCTTCCGTAGGATCAATCGGGGATCACCAGTGGACCTTTGACACTTTTGACGCTGAGGGTCGGGCCATTGACTTTGACGTCTGGGTAGATGACCTGCAGCTTTTCCTACAGTGCGATAGGGCAGACGGTCTCTCCCTCTTTGACCTCACTTCTGGTGCCTCTCCTGCCCCCGCTGCTGATGCTGACGCCACTGTTCGCTCACAGTGGGCCACACGCGATGCTGCTGCACGTCTTGCTGTGCGTCGCCACTTGCCTACCTCTGAGCGTGCGCACTTTAGCCAGTACAAGAGTGCTAAGACCTTGTACGACGCTGTAGTTGCACGCTACTCTTCCCCTGCCACTGCTGCACTTAGCCGCCTCATCCTGCCGTACCTCTTCCCTGACCTCGCAGCTTTTCCCACAGTTGCTGACCTCATTACACACCTCCGCACTAGTGACATTCGCTACCGCGCTGCCCTTCCCGCTGAGTTCTGCGCCAAGAACCCCCCCCTATGTACATCACCCTCTACTACATAGTCACCCGCCTCCCTGACACCCTTCGCCCGGTCAGGGACCACTTTCTCTCTGTTTGCCCCACCACCCTCACCGTTGACCTCCTCGAGGAGCGCCTCCTAGCAGCAGAGAAGAGCATAGTCGCTGTAGGAGCCTCTCGTGGTGACCCGCGCTCCCCTGTCTTTGAGGGGTGCTCCCCCTCTCCTCTCTTGCCCTCTGTTGCCTCTGCTGCTGCGGCCGACCTCGTTGGTCTTGAGTCGGTCGGTGCGGCGTCTACCCCTAGCGGGAAGCGCCGCCCTGGCAAGGGCAAGGGGGGCCGGGGCGCTGGAGGAGCTAGCGGGGGCGGTGGAGGCAGCGGTGGAGGCGGCGGAGGGGGTGGGGGTGGCGGTGGGGGTGGTGGCGGGGGTGGAGGTGTCGGTGGCGGCAGTGGAGGCGGAGGCGGAGGCGGCGGTGGCGGTGGGAGCGGAGGTGGCGGAGGTGGCGGCGGTGGAGGAGGCGGCGGCGGGGGAGGTGGAGCTGGTCGGGGTGGCACTGCGCAGAGGGTTGGCTCCGGTGGTGGTCAGCGCCAGCAGCAGCAGCAGCAGCAGCAGCAGCAGCAGCAGCAGCAGCAGCAGCAGCAGCAGCAGCGCACTCGGGACATCCCCCCCCCTCAGCAGCTCCGTGAGTGGTACGCTGCACGCCAGCGGGGTTGGGGTACTGGTCCGTGCACCTACGTCCTACGCACCGGCGACCGCGCGGGTGAGCCGTGCGGGGGTGCGCACTCCACCCAGCGCTGCTTTGGCCGCCTAACGGACGCTTGGCGTCACCAGTTCCCTGAGGCCACTGAGATCCCTCGCTGGGGCGAGCTTTCTAGGGCGGGAGTAGCTATCTTTGACCTTGACTTTGATGCTATTCTTGCTGCCATGTATGCTGTGACTATTAGTGATGAGGGTGACTGTTACCGGTGTTTTCCGCCCGACCCGGGCATTGAGACTGCTGCTCTAGGTACTGGTGAGGCTGCTGCTCTAGGTGCTAGCGAGGCTGCTGCTCTAGGTGCTAGTGCGTCTGCTTCCTCAGGTGCTGGTGAGTCTGCTCTCTCAGGTACTGCGTCGGCTTCGGCCTCCCACACCTTCACCCTTGACTCGGGGGCTTCTCGCTCCTTCTTTCGAGACCGCACCACACTCACTCCGCTTAGTCGGCCAGTTGCAGTCTCTCTGGCAGACCCCTCTGGGGGTCCTGTCCTTGCTCACTTCTCCACTGTCCTCCCGTGTCCGGTGGCCCCCTCTGGCACCCTGTCTGGTCTTTACCTCCCCTCGTTCTCTATGAACTTGGTGAGTGGTGCTGACCTACAGGATGCGGGGGTTCACCAGTTCACTCCTGCGAGCCAGCGGGTGACCCACTGCACGGACGCTCGGACAGGCCGACACCTGGCCACGTTTACACGTCGGCCGGGGTCGAGCCTGTACAAACTGACCACTGCGTCTCCTCCAGTCACTGCGTCTGGTCAGGTAGTTGCGTCGGGTCAGGTGTTTGCTGCGGCGTCCAGGTCTGGTCCTGAGTCTGCCCCCTGCTCGTGTCGCCTCCTGTCTCACGAGACTCTCCTCTGGCACCACCGCCTTGATCACCCCTCCCTGCTTCGTCTCCGAGGCATGGCCTCCCGTGTCCTTGTCTCTGGTCTTCCCTGGTCCCTCCCTCCCCTTCCTCCGGGGCCTGCCCCTACCTGCGTCCCCTGTGTCGAGGGGCGGCAGCGGGCTGCCCCTCACTCCTCCCAGTTTCCTCCGACAGAGGCCCCACTGCAGACGCTTCACATGGACGTGTGGGGCCCGGCCCGCGTCCGTGGACAGGGTCACGAGCGCTACTTCCTGCTGGTGGTTGACGACTACTCGCGTTACACCACGGTCTTCCCCTTGCGCAGCAAGGGTGATGTCACTGAGGTGTTGATCGACTGGATCCGCGCAGCTCGTCTCCAGCTCAGGCAGAGCTTCGGCTCGGACTTTCCTGTTTTGCGTCTGCACTCTGACAGAGGCGGAGAGTTCTCCTCTGGCCTTCTGCGAGCCTACTGTCGTGCACGAGGCATCCGCCAGACCTTCACGCTTCCGGACTCTCCACAGCAAAATGGGATTGCTGAGCGCCGCATTGGCATGGTCATGGACGTCGCCCGTACGTCCATGATGCATGCAGCTGCCCCCCATTTTCTGTGGCCGTTTGCGGTTCGGTACGCGGCGCATCAGATCAACCTTCAGCCCAGGGTCTCCATGCCGGAGACCTCCCCAGCTTTGCTGTGGACGGGGAAGGTTGGCGATGCGTCTGCGTTCCGTGTCTGGGGATCTCGGGCGTTTGTCCGCGACTTGTCTGCGGACAAGCTGTCCCCTCGTGCTGCTCCTTGTGTCTTCCTTGGCTTCCCCCCTGACGCGCCAGGGTGGCAGTTCTACCACCCCACCTCTCGCCGTGTTCTGTCCTCCCAGGACGTCACGTTTGACGAGTCGGTCCCCTACTACCGCCTCTTCCCCTACCGCACTCCGTCCCTCCCCCCGCCACCGCTCTTCCTTGTGCCAGGTCCCCCCCCGGTAGACCCCCTTCCCCCTCAGGGTCCTGCCCCTTCAGGTGTGTCCCAGGTAGACGCAGTCGAGCCTGTCGAGGTTGCTGGTGACTCTGGTGCTGCTGAGGGTGCTGAGCCTGGGAGTGCTGACTCTGGGGGTGCTGAGCGTGTGGGTGCTACGCCTGGGGGTGCTACGACTGGGGGTGCTACGACTGGGGGTGCTGAGCCTGGGGGTGCTACGACTGGGGGTGCTGAGCCTGGGGGTGCTACGCCTGGGGGTGCTGAGCCTGGGGGTGCTACGCCTGGAGTTGCTGAGCCTGGGGGTGCGGAGCCTGAGGGAGCTGGGCCCGCTCGCGTGGCGTCTGGCGGTACTGTGCCTGGAGGTCCTCCGGGTGCTTTGTCTCGGCGGGAGCCACTCTCTCCACCGGAGCTGCGCGAGTGGTTTGCCCGGCGGTGGAGGCGTGCTGCTGGAGCTGGAGGTTCTTCGGCTGCTGAGGGTGCTGGTGCCGCGGGTCCCGGATGTGCTCGCACTGGGAGTACTCGAGCTGCTGGGCCTGCGGGTACTACTGGAGCAGGTGCTACTGCGTCTTCTCGTGGTCCGACTGGAGCTGGAGCTACTGAGGGTGTTGACACTGAGGCTACTGCTGTCGGTCCTGGAGGCGGTCCTGCTGGGGGTGCTACTGGTGCTGCTGGAGGTACTGGAGCTGGAGGTGCTGCTGGCGCTGGTGCTACCACTTGGGGTACTGGTGCTGTCCCTGCTGTGTCTGGAGTCGCTGCGCGGCCTCGACCGTACTTCGTTCCGCTCCTTGAGCAGGTTCTTGGTCTCCCGCCTTCTCCTGTTCCTCCTCCTCCCTTAGAGTGTCCACAGCCTGTCCCGTCACAGTTACAGTTACAGCCGGCCTCCCCACTGCCTGCTCCTTCTCCCTACACTGGTCCTACTGGAGGTCTTGCTGAGCGTCGTGAGCCTGCGTCTCGCCCTGCGTCGCCTGTCCGTGCTGCTCGCACTAGTGGTCGTGGTTCGCGTCAGCGTCCTCCTCCTGTCCCTGGCACGCACCGGATGTCTCTGCATCCGTCCACTGCTCCTCTGCGTGCCCCTTTGCCTTCTCCTCCTGAGTCCTCTCTTCCTGCTCTTCCCGACCCGGAGTCGGACTCTCTTCGTGCTGCCAGTCCTACTGTCACGCGTCTCCTTGCTACTGTTGTCACTGACCCTTCCTTTGAGTCCGCTGCTGCGTCTGCCCTAGTTACTGAGCTCGTCGACTTTGCTGCTCGCTGTCGTCTAGACTACGCTGCTAGTCTTGTTGCTGAGTCTGAGTCTGCATGTCCTCCGTCCGTCGGGGGTGAGTGTGCCCTTGGCACGGACGTCCTTGAGGACAGGCAGGAGGAGTTCCAGTGTTTGGCTGCTGTTTCACCTCATCTCGTGTCCGTACTGCTTACCCCTGAGGGAGACCCGGATGCACTTGACATCCCGACTCCGCGCTCCTACGCGGAGGCGATAGAGGGTCCCTACTCCTCTCAGTGGCACGCAGCCATGGACGCAGAGATGGCTTCCTGGAAGTCCACAGGCACCTACGTTGACGAGGTTCCCCCACCTGGGGCGAACATCGTCAGTGGCATGTGGATTTTCAGGGTGAAGCGGCCGCCGGGTTCTCCGCCTGTCTTCAAGGCGCGTTACGTGGCTCGTGGCTTCAGTCAGCGGCAGGGAGTTGACTACTTTCAGACCTTCTCTCCCACCCCGAAGATGACCACTCTTCGGGTACTGCTGCACATAGCTGCTCACCGTGACTACGAGCTGCACTCTCTTGACTTCAGCACTGCTTTCTTGCAGGGCAGCCTGCACGAGGAGATCTGGCTGCGTCGCCCACCTGGCTTCACTGGGTCTTTTCCTCCTGGCACCTAGTGGAGCCTCCGGCGGCCAGTCTACGGTCTCCGCCAGGCACCACGTGAGTGGCACGACACACTGAGGACTACACTTGCGGCTCTTGGGTTTGCTCCCTCTACTGCCGACCCGTCGCTGTTTCTGCGCACCGACACTTCTTTGCCGCCGTTCTACATCCTCGTGTACGTCGACGACTTGGTCTTTGCCATAGCTGACACTGCTGGACTCGCCCACGTGAAGTCCGAGCTGCAGAAGAGACACACGTGCACAGACCTGGGTGAACTGCGCAGCTATCTTGGCTTGCAGATCACCCGGGACAGAGCACGCCGCACCATTACCCTGACTTAGTCACACATGGTGCAGCAGGTCCTTCAGCGCTTCGGCTTCACGTACTCCTCGCCTCAGGCCACTCCTCTGCCTACTCGCCACTCGCTCTCAGCTCTGCCTTCGGATGAGTCCGTAGAGTCGAGTGGCCCGTACCCAGAGCTTGTTGGCTGCCTCATGTACCTGATGACCTGCACACGACCTGACCTTGCATACCCTCTTAGCATTCTCGCACGCTATGTTGCTCCTGGGAGACATAGACCGGAGCACATGGCTGCAGCGAAGAGGGTGTTGCGCTACTTGTGCAGTACGTCGGGCATGGGGCTTGTGCTTGGAGGGCAGAGTCCAGTGGTCCTCACTGGACACGCAGACGCTTCTTGGGCTGACGACCAGGCTACGCAGCGGTCGTCACAGGGTTACACCTTCAGCCTTGGTTCCGGCTCTGTTTCGTGGCGGGCTACTCGCTCGTCTTCTGTTCTCGGCTCCAGTTGTGAGGCTGAGATCTACGCCGGGGCCATGGCTGCACAGGAGCTTCGCTGGCTCACCTACCTGCTGACTGACCTCGGAGAGCCGCCTCGTTCTCCTCCAGTGCTCTACGTAGACAACAAGGCCATGCTGGCCTTGTGTCGAGAGCAGAGACTGGAGCACAGAACGAAGCACATTGCTCTTCGCTACTTCCTTGCTCGTGAGCTACAGCAGCGTGGTCAGCTGCGACTTGCGTACGTGGCCTCTGAGGCCAACACTGCTGATATCTTCACCAAGGCACTTGCGCCTTGTGATCATCAGCACTTCTGTACTCAGCTGGGTCTTGTACCTACCTTGCCTCACTTGCTCACCTCTTGACCTTGTTGTACTGTTGCATATATATATACTCCTGCTCTTGCTTGTCTAGCCTTATACATATATGTAATCCTGCATGTGAACTGGCCTTGTGGCCTTGAACTTGTGCTCGGAATGTGTGGTGACTTTGTGATCCACCCTGAGCTTGCTTTGCTTTGCTTGACTGGTCTTGTGACCCATTGTTCTCCCCCACTTTGCCTATGGGGGTGTGTCAGATTTATATGACATAGCTGCTGTAGGCTGTAGTGGGGTAGCACATATGGGGTACAGTTTTCTAGGGTTTGTACTTGTACCCAACTTTCCCTTAGTCAATCCCATTTCCTCGACATTTCACAGAAATCAAGGCGCTGGAATCACGCGACACCTGGTTGCTCGTCGACCGCGCAGCAATCAAGGGCGCAAGGATTCTCTCGGGGAAGTGGGTCTTCCGCGTGAAGACCGCAGCGGATGGGACGATTGAGCGCTTCAAGGCGCGTTGGGTGGTTCGCGGCTATGACCAGAGGCATGGGATCGACTTCGACCAGACGTTCGCCCCGGTTAGCCGCCACACCTCCGTCCGAACCCTGCTCGCTATCGCAGCTGCAAGGCACCTACCGCTCCGCCAGATCGATGTAAAGAACGCGTTCCTGTACGCGTTAGTGGACGCTGTGATTTACGTGGAGCAGCCACACACCTACGGCGAAGGGGACTCGCGGGTGTGTCAGTTACGCAAATCACTCTACGGAATCAAGCAGGCCCCGATGCTGTGGCAGCAGTACCTGCACAACATCCTGCTTGAAATCGGGTTCAAGCAGATGCCGCATGATCCAGGGATGTATCGCCGCGATTTCCGCGGCGAATACATCCTTCTCACGGTGTACGTCGACGACCTGCTTTACACAGGCTCAAACAACGAGCTTCTCGAGCAGTTCGAGAAGGCCTTGGCGGGGCGCGTCGACATCACGTGCAACTACGAGGTGAAGCAGTTTCTAGGCCTCAACATCTCCTACGCGCCTGAGGCCATTCATCTCTCAGCGGCCAAGTACGCAGAGGAGTTAGGGAAGCGGTTCAACATCTCACCTGCACCTCTCTCAACCCCCTACCGAACCCCCGGACCGAACCACAAGCCCGACAACAAAGCCCTATCCCCACTGGAATTCAGACTTACCAGCAGCAGTTGGGATGCCTCCTCTTCGCCTCTGTCACCTGCAGGCCAGACCTCTCGTACATCGCAAGCCAGCTGGCACAGTACTCACGCAAACCAACGGCTGAGAATCTCCTGGACCTGCAGCGCGCTCTTCAATTCTTCGTTTCGACGCCCAAGATTGGGCTGAGCTACTCAACTGCACCTACTCCATCCTTCAATCTCGTCGGCTATGTGGATGCCGATCACGCAGCAGATCCTGATAATCGACGGTCCAGGACCGGCTTCCTGTTCCGGCTCGAACCAACGGGACCAATCTCCTGGAACTCGCAGAAGCAGGAGTTGGTTGCCCTGTCGTCAGCCGAAGCGGAATTCATCGCAGCAACCGCAGCAGTTCGCGAAGGCCTCTACCTGCAAGAACTTCTGCAAGAGGCGAAAATTCCAGCTTCGCCCACGTTTCGCCTTCACTGCGACAACCAGAGCGCGATTCGCATCGCGAACAAGCCTGGCTTCGTCAATCGCACCAAGCACATCGCGTTGCGGTATTTCTTCGTGAAGGACGAGGTGGACAAGGGCAAGGTCAACTTGACCTATTGCCCGACCGGTGACATGGCAGCAGACTTCCTCACGAAGCGACTGCCACGCCAGCAGTATCAGCACTGCTCCGAACTCAGCGGCGTGGTCAAGCAGGTAAAGGCGAGCTACGGCCAGGAGTGAAGGGGGGTGTTACGAATAGTAATATCTTAGTATTGCTGTGCACTCCTCACCGCAGCAAGAGAAGCATGCACTATCGAGAAGGAACGCGAAGCGTCAGACGGTTGGAATTGAATCGAAGCGTCAGATGGTTACAGAACATCTGGACCGTCGGGAGCAGACGGCATCGGGCAGCCGCAGGCAGGATGGTTTTGGCGGGAACAGTTACGAAACTGTACGCGCCGCACGGTTGGGAATGTATTTGAATAAGGGAATGTACCCCTTAGAGTACATGACTAGCTAGGTCGTTTTGTCTTCCCTGTACTCATATTTATATCTGCTGTATTTGCATGTTTTAATCATCTCAAAGCATTTTACATTCACTCTGCTATTGAGGTCAAGGGCCCACCAACATTACTTTCCTGCGTGCGAACCTTCCTGGGTAGATCCTAGGTGGCGATCAACTTCTGGTCGCAGCAAAAATAACTAATTTGGAGAAGAGTTGCATCGGCGGCCAGGATAAACGGCTAAGCGGAAAGCGGCCATGTGGTGGAGCTTCATTATCGATGAAAATGAGATGAACTGTCAATGGCTTGGTGAAGCCTTCCTAGTGACATGACATCTACAATAACAATCCAGTAGCATCAGATATGAGATTATAAACAAGATAAGAACTTCGTACACGCCCACATCCTTGATTAATCTAAGGAGAATTAAGAGAGGGGCAAAACCCGATAACGGTCTGCAGCAACGTCCCTATAAACACATCAACATATTGCAGGCACACATTTTCCATCAATGATAGTTTGAGGCGGGATTATAAACACCACCAATATGAATGTGAATCATCTTTAGTATACCTATCTGTGAAAATTTCTGTTGAACTGAAGTTTCTAAAGTAGATATTTCATTCCATTGTAGAGGTAGCAAGGATGACCCCACAATCTCATCGTGTACTGAATGATGACGTAAGGTGGGCCCACACGCATATACTCAGCCGTCCGATCAACATCACCAGGGGAGATGATTTCTAGGGAGAACCGCTAAAGCTCCGCCATCACCTAGGTCACCCTCTGCAGTGTAGTCTGACACCCGCGCAAACACCCGCTCGGCGCACATATTCCCGCTTCGCAGTTTGGTGTGCAAAATCGTCGCTGATTCGCGAACTGTGTTTTCGTGTTCACCATCTTCAGGCGAGCCTCATGATTTGGAGTCAGTGCGGAAGGTTACTGCGCCAGTTCCCGCAGTGAACCTTGGCGCGCAGACACATCTGGCGCGCGGGCCCGTCACTGAACTCCGCGCTCCGCTGATGTCATATTCACATCCGCATGCTGCCGGCAAAATGTTTTCCACGCATCCCGGGGTTGAAAATAGCCGATTCATTTGGGTGCCAAGTGACCAGGTTATTGCCGCTTGTCACCAGTTTCTTGTAAACTCCAGCACTTTAACTCCGAAACCGAACACTCTTTCCTTTCCCGCGAGATCTCTTTCTACCCAAAAACAAACTGTTTGACGCGCTAACCCACCTCTCCCCCCGCCACTTTCTGTCACCCGCGCTGGCGCAATCCTTCCCCACCCACTGACACCACCTTTGTTTGACCCTGGTCACCGTCGAGCCAACACCACCCCCTCACCCAGCGAGCGAGAATCACCACTTTGGGTTGACGCTGGTCACCTGCGAGCCAGCACCACCCCCTCACCCAGCAAGGGAGAATCACCACTGTGGGTTGACGCTGGTCACCCTCGTCAAGCGACAATCCCAGATTCCCAAGGCCTTCCACTCCGTTTTCTCCCACATTCCCACACCTCCATTGTTCCGACTTCTCTACTCACCAGACCTCAAGGCCGCCATGAATCTCGTGAAAAGTACCGTCCACGTATTTTCACCGTGGCTCCCGTCGCCATGTCTTCTCATCTCGCCATGGATTTAGTATTGTCTCAATCTCCATGATCCCCTTCTGCTTGGAGTTAAACGCTTCGTTTACAAAACGGAATTTGGTCGGGAATTAGTTTTCTGGAGATATCTAAGAATCCTGGCGGCTGGTACTACTAAGAGATGTTCTTCTCACGACTAGAATTTAAAATTTCGATTCGCGTGATCCCTACTACGGCTTCATCATCAACGCGTTAGTAGCCGGAACCATCAGCGTGTCGTGACGCTATTCTTCTTGACATCTCAACTACATAAGAACGGCGAGCAAGCGACGACGGAAAAGCGACGACGGACAAGCGACGACGGAAAAGCGACGACGGACAAGCGACGACGGAAAAGCGACGACGGACTAGCGACGACGGACAAGCGACGACGGACATTGCGGATGCTGGCGACCAACCGCATGCAACGATTTGAGGATGATGGCGACCAATCGCGAGCGTCATTGTGGATGCTGGCGACTTCCGCATGCTAGTCCGACGATGCATCTGACGACGTCCATACGAATCCGACGACGAAGCGCGAATACCTCGTTCCATGGTCCATGATATACACACATGGGATACTCACCATTCAGTTCGCCATGGTAAGTTCAAGCATTTTTTCAAAGCAATCTTCCAGTGCTTTGCGTATTGAAAGCTTGGGTGATTCTTCGTTGTTTTTATTTTGTTCGATACCTGAATGCTCACAGATTGATGATGTGTGTGTGATTCGACTTGTGCAGGTGACCCAAGGGAGGGTTCGGCCACCGCTGCTGCACAGTCAGTGCGATTCAGCAGCCTGGAGGTGCGCGACCGTCAGTGCGATTCAGAGCCTGGAGCTGCACGGAGAAATGACGCTGCTGGCGAGGAAGCCACGAAGTTCATGAAGTTCCTACGAAGCATTCCGCCATGGTAAGTTGAAGCAATGTTTCAGTGTATTGAAATTCCGAGCATTGTTTCAGCATTCCTATGAAATCCCGAGTGATGTTCCCCGAGTTGCTTTTATTCGTTAGCGACTGAATGTTCAGGCACTGATGCTGACCGGCTTGATTTGTGCAGGTCCAAGGCTTGCTGCTGCACTTCGCTGCTCTCCTTCTGAGCCTAATGATGAGGAGCAACGGCTACTGATCTTGATGAGGAGCAACGACTGCTGCTTCATCGGCGATGCTGCTGCTGCTTCATCGGCGATGCTGCTCACCACTGAGGCGATGCTGCTCACCACTGAGGCGATGCTGCTCACCACTGAGGCGATGCTGCTCACCACTGAGGCGATGCTGCTCACCACTGAGGCGATGCTGCTCACCACTGAGGCGATGCTGCTCACCACTGAGGCGATGCTGCTCACCACTGAGGCGATGCTGCTCACCACTGAGGCGATGCTGCTCACCACTGAGGCGATGCTGCTCACCACTGAGGCGATGCTGCTCACCACTGAGGCGATGCTGCTCACCACTGAGGCGATGCTGCTCACCACTGAGGCGATGCTGCTCACCACTGAGGCGATGCTGCTCACCACTGAGGCGATGCTGCTCACCACTGAGGCGATGCTGCTCACCACTGAGGCGATGCTGCTCACCACTGAGGCGATGCTGCTCACCACTGAGGCGATGCTGCTCACCACTGAGGCAATGCTGCTCACGACTGAGGCGATGCTGCTCACGACTGAGGCGATGCTGCTCACCACTGAGGCGATGCTGCTCACCACTGAGGCGATGCTGCTCACCACTGAGGCGATGCTGCTCACCACTGAGGCGATGCTGCTCACCACTGAGGCGATGCTGCTCACCACTGAGGCGATGCTGCTCACCACTGAGGCCTGGCTGCTGCTGCTGGCGAGGAGCTGCTGGGGACCTGGAGGCGATGCTGCTCCTTGGATGTAGAGGCGATGCTGCTCCTTGGATCTAGAGGCGATGCTGCTCCTTGGATCTAGAGGCGATGCTGCACCTGAGGCTGCCGAACGGACTGCGGCGAGCGGCAAACTGCGGTAGCGGCGAGAGGAGGACGGAGGCGGACGGAGCGACGGCTGAGGCAAGGACGAACGGGCGCCGCTGCCTCGACCCCTGCCTGCTGAAATAAGGCTAAGATATCTCGTTTATTCACTCACTTGTTGGCACTTGTTCGCTCACTGCTCGCTTCCGCCCTCATAGCCGCCTTCTCCTCCTCGCGCCACTCGTTCCTCCTCCTCCAGCTCGCAGCGGCGGCACCATTGGACCATTCCCCAGGTGTGTTCAGGTAACGGCGGCATCATGCGTAAGTAGGTGTGCTCAGGTACGGTACGGTCCTTTGGTGCCCGCCCTGCAGCTGCCACCCACCACCCCGCCTGCGCTGTTGTTGTTCCATGCAGCACACTCAACGCAAGCGCATGCAATGGGAGGGGAGGCGTGTGGGCGTGTGGCTGACGTGGACGGCGTGTGGCTGACGTGGACGCGAGCGTGTTGGGATGACGCACGGCCGGCAGTCACAGGCGTGTGGCTGCCTCCTACCCGCCCTGCTGACCACGCGCTCGGGGGAGCAGACGAGGAGGCGGCGAGGTGGAGTGGAGCGATGGGTGGGTGGAGGAGGATGGATGGGTGCTGCACTGCACCTGTGCGCACTGCTGGAGGGGCGGAGGCTGCTGCACCGCACCTGTGGGATGGCGGCAGGGGGATGACGCACGGCAGGCACCACTGCTGCCCTGCTGACCACTGCTCGCCTGTGGAGGAACGGCGAGGCGAGGAGGGAGAAGTGCCGCTGCTGGCGAGCGCGCGTGCATGCAGCTTCGACCCCTCCTGAATGCGGCTAAGAGATCTCCCTTCTGTTGATATTTTCACGCTCTTGTTTGCACTCGTTCTTTCATTGCTCGCCTTCTCCTCCTGAGCTTGCCTCACTGCATCCTCGTGAGCTTGCCTCACTGCATCCTCCTGAGCTTGCCTCACTGCATCCTCCTGAGCTTGCCTCACTGCATCCTCGTGAGCTTGCCTCACTGCATCCTCCTGAGCTTGCCTCACTGCATCCTCCTGAGCTTGCCTCACTGCATCCTCCTGAGCTTGCCTCACTGCATCCTCCTGAGCTTGCCTCACTGCATCCTCCTGAGCTTGCCTCACTGCATCCTCCTGAGCTTGCCTCACTGCATCCTCCTGAGCTTGCCTCACTGCATCCTCCTGAGCTTGCCTCACTGCATCCTCCTGAGCTTGCCTCACTGCATCCTCCTGAGCTTGCCTCACTGCATCCTCCTGAGCTTGCCTCACTGCATCCTCCTGAGCTTGCCTCACTGCATCCTCGTGAGCTTGCCTCACTGCATCCTCCTGAGCTTGCCTCACTGCATCCTCCTGAGCTTGCCTCACTGCATCCTCCTGAGCTTGCCTCACTGCATCCTCCTGAGCTTGCCTCACTGCATCCTCCTGAGCTTGCCTCACTGCATCCTCGTGAGCTTGCCTCACTGCATCCTCCTGAGCTTGCCTCACTGCATCCTCCTGAGCTTGCCTCACTGCATCCTCCTGAGCTTGCCTCACTGCATCCTCCTGAGCTTGCCTCACTGCATCCTCGTGAGCTTGCCTCACTGCATCCTCGTGAGCTTGCCTCACTGCATCCTCCTGAGCTTGCCTCACTGCATCCTCCTGAGCTTGCCTCACTGCATCCTCCTGAGCTTGCCTCACTGCATCCTCCTGAGCTTGCCTCACTGCATCCTCCTGAGCTTGCCTCACTGCATCCTCCTGAGCTTGCCTCACTGCATCCTCCTGAGCTTGCCTCACTGCATCCTCGTGAGCTTGCCTCACTGCATCCTCCTGAGCTTGCCTCACTGCATCCTCCTGAGCTTGCCTCACTGCATCCTCCTGAGCTTGCCTCACTGCATCCTCCTGAGCTCGTGAGTGTGCCTGCTGCTTACTGCCTTGTGTGTGCTTGCGTGTTCGGTTGTAAGTGTTCCTGCTGCTTACTGCCTTGTGTGTGCTTGCGTGTTCGGTTGTAAGTGTGCCTGCTGCTTACTGCCTTGTGTGTGCTTGCGTGTTCGGTTGTAAGTGTGCCTGCTGCTTACTGCCTTGTGTGTGCTTGCGTGTTCGGTTGTAAGTGTGCCTGCTGCTTACTGCCTTGTGTGTGCTTGCGTGTTCGGTTGTAAGTGTGCCTGCTGCTTACTGCCTTGTGTGTGCTTGCGTGTTCGGTTGTAAGTGTGCCTGCTGCTTACTGCCTTGTGTGTGCTTGCGTGTTCGGTTGTAAGTGTGCCTGCTGCTTACTGCCTTGTGTGTGCTTGCGTGTTCGGTTGTAAGTGTGCCTGCTGCTTACTGCCTTGTGTGTGCTTGCGTGTTCGGTTGTAAGTGTGCCTGCTGCTTACTGCCTTGTGTGTGCTTGCGTGTTCGGTTGTAAGAGTGCCTGCTGCTTACTGCCGTTGACTTTTGAGTCAACTCGTGTTCGGTTGTAAGAGTGCCTGCTGCTTACTGCCGTTGACTTTTGAGTCAACTCGTGTTCGGTTGTAAGAGTGCCTGCTGCTTACTGCCGTTGACTTTTGAGTCAACTCGTGTTCGGTTGTAAGTGTCTGCTGACTGCCTTGTGTGTGCCACTCACACCACCTTCACCTGATGCATGCTTTTCAGTTCTTTTTTCATCTAGCGTTTTCCGTTGCCTGCATTCTTTGTCAGATTTCTGTATCGCTGCATTCTTTGTCAGATTTCTGTATCGCTGCATTCTTCACTCCTTCATTTTTCTCTCTCCTACGTGCGCACAGGCTGTGGGGGAGCGAGCGTGTTGGGATGACGCACGGCCGGCAGTCACAGGCGTGTGGCTGCCTCCTACCCGCCCTGCTGACCACGCGCTCGGAGGCAAGCCGCTGAGACAGCGCTGCGACGAGGCGTCTTCCTCCCACGTGTGCTGGCTTCTCCCCCTGCGTCCATGGGGTGAGGCGGAGGAACGAGATGGAGAGACTGACGGGCTGGAATTGAGGGCGATTACAAGGAGGGGTGTTGTTGAATGGAGAGTGAGCGCCACGCAGAGACGAGGGGCTGACGGACTCGATCATTTGAGAGTGGGGGGGGGGCCCAGCTCTCTCTTGGTCTTGTCCTGACGCACGGGGCCCACCCTCGGCCTCTGCGGGCTACTCACATACCTCTCCAGCACCTTGGCCCTTGGATCTGTCCTCTTCCATGCCTCTGTCCCACGTCCTCCTGACCCGCACTCCGTCCTCACTCCTCCCCCTTCCATTCCCTTCAGCACGTGGGGCGAGGGGGCAGCGCGGCGGGGCAGCAAGAGGACTTCTCTGCTTAATCCCCCCCTTCCATTCCCTTGAGGTCTACTCGTGGGGCGAGGAGGGCGACGGGGCAGCGCGCGCGCATCAAGAGGCGTCCCTCTGGTTAACCCCCCCCTTCCATTCCCTTCAGCATGGCGGGCAGCGTGGAGACGACACGGCGGGCGGCACGGACGGAGGTGAGGTGCTGCTCCATCGCTGCAGTGGGGTAAGCCTCTCTTCCCTTGTCCGTTTCCGCCTTGCATTCTTTCTATTTTTTGCATTTCATGTATTTGTCGTGCATGTTTCACTTGATCCTGTTTCCTGTTTGTCTCTCTACCCTCCTACCCCCCTCCCCTTCCCTTGAGGTCTACTCGTGGGGCGAGGAGGGCGACGGGGCAGCGCGCGCGCATCAAGAGGCGTCCCTCTGGTTAACCCCCCCCTTCCATTCCCTTCAGCATGGCGGGCAGCGTGGAGACGACACGGCGGGCGGCACGGACGGAGGTGAGGTGCTGCTCCATCGCTGCAGCGGGGTAAGCCTCTCTTCCCTTGTCCGTTTCCGCCTTGCATTCTTTCTATTTTTTGCATTTCATGTATTTGTCGTGCATGTTTCACTTGATCCTGTTTCCTGTTTGTCTCTCTACCCTCCTACCCCCCTCCCCTTCCCTTGAGGTCTACTCGTGGGGCGAGGAGGGCGACGGGGCAGCGCGCGCGCATCAAGAGGCGTCCCTCTGGTTAACCCCCCCCTTCCATTCCCTTCAGCATGGCGGGCAGCGTGGAGACGACACGGCGGGCGGCACGGACGGAGGTGAGGTGCTGCTCCATCGCTGCAGCGGGGTAAGCCTCTCTTCCCTTGTCCGTTTCCGCCTTGCTTTCCTTCTGTTTTTTTGCATTTCATGTATTTGTCGTGCATGTTTCACTTGATCCTTTTTCTGTTTGTCTCTCTTCCCTCCCCCCCCCCCCCCCCTTCCATTCCCTTGAGGTCTACTCGTGGGGCGAGGAGGGCGACGGGGCAGCGCGCGCGCATCAAGAGGCGTCCCTCTGGTTAACCCCCCCCTTCCATTCCCTCCAGCATGGCGGGCAGCGTGGAGACGACACGGCGGGCGGCACGGACGGAGGTGAGGTGCTGCTCCATCGCTGCAGCGGGGTAAGCCTCTCTTCCCTTGTCCGTTTCCACCTTGCTTTCCTTCTGTTTTTTTGCATTTCATGTATTTGTCGTGCATGTTTCACTTGATCCTTTTTCTGTTTGTCTCTCTTCCCTCCCCCCCCCCCCCCCCCTTCCATTCCCTTGAGGTCTACTCGTGGGGCGAGGAGGGCGACGGGGCAGCGCGCGCGCATCAAGAGGCGTCCCTCTGGTTAACCCCCCCCTTCCATTCCCTCCAGCATGGCGGGCAGCGTGGAGACGACACGGCGGGCGGCACAGCGGACGGCACACGGACAGAGGTACCCTTCTTCCCTTGTCCGTTTTGTCTTGCTTTCGTTCTCAAATTTGTCTTGCTTTCTTTCTGTTTTTCGCGCTACATGTATTCTTGTGCCTGTGTCACTTGATCGTGTGTTGTGTTTGTCTTGTGGTGTGTGTCGCTCTTCAGCTGGCAGGACCCGAAGACCGCCCCCGACTGCGGCATAGGTGTTGTGCGGCAGGGGTGGCTGACGGCGTTGGGTCGGACGCGGCCCGCGCCTGAAGCGCCCCTGTGTGTGAGTGAGTGCTCTGACGAGGGATGGGGGGACGCTCCCTGAACTCTGACGGCCTCCTCACCCCGCCTTCGCCGGGCCAGGTGTTACGCCACCTGGTCTGAGCTGGGCTGTAGGACGCTGCAGCCCGGCTCGTGTCGTTTAGGGGCTGCGGTCCCACACGAAGGGTCCCCACCTCAGCGCGGTGTGTGGGTGTAACACTAGGGGTTAACCCCCCTAGTGGCCAAGAGGGGCCCAGAAGACCCAAGACCGAAGACCGGGGCCCAGAATGGTTTTAGACTTAATATATTTGATTAGTATAATTGCCTAGATAGTGATGGTAGCTCTGGTTAGGTCATTAATCAGACAACTAGGTCTCAGCATGGACGATTGAACTAGGTAACACACACCAGGGAAGCACATGCTGCAGCGTTGCAGATAAACAGGAAATGAAGGACCTCTAACATCACAGAATAGGGGTAACCTTTCTCATTCAGTTCATTATTTCATGCAGAACAATCAGAAACATGCAACAGAGGCTACTTTCTTCTGACATGGCAACATGTCCTCTCAAACACTTGCATGGGTCATTGCCACTTGTGTTGCTACTCCTGGCAATGCTGTGTGCTGACCACCCAACAGACTCATTGAAGTCCAATGACAGCACCAAGCAATGCACCATCAGAAACACAAGGTATTCATGCTAATTGTATGTACATGGCTGCATATTATAGTCTGGTATGCTAGTCATTAGCGAGCACAAGGAAGCCAATTGCCGTGTAGAGCAGGAAGACAGGGTACACTGCCAGCACCCTGCGCGTCTCCGGAACAGCCTTGGCCACAAAGGGGTATGCAGCCGAGGAGCTCCAGGCGAATGTGACTAAAACGAGCGCCATGCGAACGAGCTTGGTGGTGGTGAGGAGGCAGAGGAGGGCGGCGAGGTCGAGCGGCACGAGGCAGTAGCCGAGCAGGGAGAGGCTCTGGAAGAATATGATGCGCCCGCCCTGTGGTGTGAGGGAGAGGGGTGCAGGAGAGAGAGATACGCAGGGCGACATGAGGGGTGCAGTGAGGTGCATAGGGGCATGTATGTGTGTGAGGGGCAGTAGCCGAGCAGGGAGAGGCTCTGGAAGAATATGATGCGCCCGCCCTGTGGTGCGAGGGAGAGGGGTGCAGGAGAGAGAGATACGCAGGGCGACATGAGGGGTGCAGTGAGGTGCATAGGGGCATGTATGTGTGTGAGGGGCAGTAGCCGAGCAGGGAGAGGCTCTGGAAGAATATGATGCGCCCGCCCTGTGGTGTGAGGGAGAGGGGTGCAGGAGAGAGAGATACGCAGGGCGACATGAGGGGTGCAGTGAGGTGCATAGGGGCATGTATGTGTGTGAGGGGCAGTAGCCGAGCAGGGAGAGGCTCTGGAAGAATATGATGCGCCCGCCCTGTGGTGCGAGAGAGAGGGGTGCAGGAGAGAGATGTGACGCGAATGAAAAGTCATGACCCGGGAGTCCACGAGGGGTGCAGTGAGATGCAGAGGGACATGCCTGTGCATGGGGCAGCCTAAGGGGTGCAGTGAGATGCTAATGGGTACACGTTTGCCAGGGGAAGCACGAGGGGCAACGAGGTGGCGAGGGAGAACGGGAGCAACATGTGTCTGCTGAGGTGTGTGCGTGAGTGTGTGCGTGAGTGTGTGCGTGAGTGTGTGCGTGAGTGTGTGCGTGAGTGTGTGCCTGAGTGTGTGCGTGAGTGTGTGCGTGAGTGTGTGCGTGAGTGTGTGCGTGAGTGTGTGCGTGAGTGTGTGCGTGAGTGTGTGCGTGAGTGTGTGCGTGAGTGTGTGCGTGAGTGTGTGCGTGAGTGTGTGCGTGAGTGTGTGCGTGAGTGTGTGCGTGAGTGTGTGCGTGAGTGTGTGCGTGAGTGTGTGCGTGAGTGTGTGCGTGAGTGTGTGCCTGAGTGTGTGCGTGAGTGTGTGCGTGAGTGTGTGCGTGAGTGTGTGCGTGAGTGTGTGCGTGAGTGTGTGCGTGAGTGTGTGCGTGAGTGTGTGCGTGAGTGTGTGCGTGAGTGTGTGCGTGAGTGTGTGCGTGAGTGTGTGCGTGAGTGTGTTGCCTGAGTGTGTGCCTGAGTGTGTGCCTGAGTGTGTGCGTGAGTGTGTGCGTGAGTGTGTGCGTGAGTGCGTGCGTGAGTGTGTGCGTGAGTGTGTGCGTGAGTGTGTGCGTGAGTGTGTGCGTGAGTGTGTGCGTGAGTGTGTGCCTGAGTGTGTGCCTGAGTGTGTGCCTGAGTGTGTGCCTGAGTGTGTGCGTGAGTGTGTGCGTGAGTGTGTGCGTGAGTGCGTGCGTGAGTGTGTGCGTGAGTGCGTGCGTGAGTGTGTGCGTGAGTGTGTGCGTGAGTGCGTGCGTGAGTGTGTGCGTGAGTGTGTGCGTGAGTGTGTGCGTGAGTGTGTGCGTGAGTGTGTGCGTGAGTGCGTGCGTTAGTGTGTGGCAGAGTGCTTACGAGGCACTCACCAGCAGCTGCACGTTGAGAGTGAGGACAACGGCTCCTGCTGACACTGCTCCGAACACCACTGCAAACACATGCGCCTGTGACGCACAGAGAACGAGTGAGTCACTCAATCAGCGAGAACCCTTTCTTTAGCACATGCAAGATGGAACGGCGCAGAGAGTTCGCAAGTCGCATGCCGGTGGATGATTCAAGTAGCATTTGTCCAGCTCTGCACAGCTCTGCCTTCGCTACACTCACCTGGATCTGCGTCCATTATGCTCACCTTGTTGTGCGTGGCGGACGAGGAGAGCAGCAGCGCGAGGGTGATTATAAAGAAGAACGGCCCCCACAGGTCCCAGTCTCTGAGGGAGCTTCGTTCACTCGGTACAAGCACACACCGCAGGTTCACCCACACTCGCTGCACGTCCCTCCATAGGGTGACCGATACAGGCTCTGGTGGGAGGAAGCGTGGGGGAAAGGAGGAGTGGAATGGAAGGAAGACATGTCTTGATTTGGCTCAACTCACCGCAAAGGGATTCTGATACGGGCTCCGGTGGGAGCGGGAGGAAGAGTGGAATGGAGGAAGGGGATCTCAGGAATCTACTCAGGTTCGCGCACACTCGCTGCACGTCCCTCCGCAGGGTTAACGACACGGGGTCTGGTGGAAAGATACGTGGGGGGAAGATGAATGGAATGGAAGGGGGGAATCTCCTACTTTGACTCAAGATTCACCCACACTCACTGCACGTCCCTTCACTCACTGCACTGCTCTGGTGGGAGGGGAAGCCAGGAGGGGAGGAGTAGGACTGAAATGAAATGCGGGGCCCTTGAGACGACTGACTTCCAAAGCGAGTGATTACCCGTGCGACTGACTCTCCATGCGACTGACTTCCCATGCGACAGGCTCCCCTGACTCACGGCCCGACTCAACCGTCAGCGTGTTCTGCGGGCGCGGCTGGGGGATGGCGGCGCTGGCGGCGCTGGCGACGCTGGCGACGCTGGCGACGCTGGCGACGCTGGCTGGAGCGACGCCGCTGTATTCGTGGGAAAGAGCGGGCGTGGCGCGGAAGAGGTCATCTACGGAGTCTGCCTGGGATGGCAGCAGCGGCTGGGTTGTCGTCGCCATGAGCGCGCCTGCTAATCTCAAGCGCACCGAATGTGGACAAAGGGATAGACGCCGAGCAGCAGGACTATGCACGAATCGCGACCGTAGAATGGCGGAATCGCGGCAGGTAGTAACTATTGTCAACAGAAAATCCGCACTTCAGGTTGTCAGATTATTCGACTTTCCGGTACGCATGTGCGCTTCCCTTACGACGCGTTATAATCTGACACTGGCACCACTTGTAAGATGGGTGCATTTGGTATCTGAAAAGTGGAACAATCTACCGTGTGCTGAAAGGGTCTCTGTATAGCGCGGATTTTTCGACTAGGGGAGTGCACAAATCACCGATGATTTGGGTGCCGAATATTCTGGAGGGGGTGGCAATCAATAGGTGGTTGCGTGTTGCGAAAGTTGTCGCCATCGCTGCGAAGGCTGTCAAGTCTTCGTCAAGCCATCGTTGACTCCTCGATTACACTGACGGCCCAAGCAACCTCGAGTTATCGCTGCTTCTCATTCTTCTTCATTCTCACGGACAGTTCTTGTCGAGTTCGCCATAACTTCTGTTTGAACGAGTTCGCCCATCTTCAGACGTCACACTAGCTCTTCCCACCTACCTTACGTTCTGAAGCATTCTCGCTGCGGGATCCAGCGATCGCTGTGTTTCCTCGCCCCGTATCTATCTCTTCGCTACCGTTCACTAGACAGGATGCCGCGTGCAACCAGCAGATCTTCTGGTATGCGTTTCTTTCTTGTGACCAGTATCTCGATTCTGGTCACTGACATTCCGTTACCTCTGAATCATGTGTCTTTCTGTCTGCGTTTATCGCTCTCGCCGGCAGGATCGAGGGCCTCTGCTCCAGCGAGACCAGCTCCGAGGCCAGCACCTGCATCGCACACTCACTCCGCGCCTCCACCCGCACCTGGTACTCCATCAGTTATCGCCCGTTAGTCAGATCTTCGTGCCTGATCCATCCAGATTAGTCAGATCTTCAGCTCCTGCTTTCAGATTCTCAACCTCGCCTCTTCTCATGACACCTCGCATTCTCGTGTTCCCTCCTTCCCGATTGGTTGCGCAGCGGCGCAACCAGCGCCTCCCCCAGCGCAGCCAGCAGCAGCCTCTGGAGGGGGGAGCATGCTGGGTGGGTTGATGCAGACGGTGGGAGAGGGCATGGCATTTGGAACAGGATCCGCCATTGCCAACAGAGCGGTGGATGCCATCATGGGTCCGCGCACTGTCGTGCACGAACACGTCAACTCCGCCGCGCCTGCCGCCGCGCCTGCTGCCGCTCCTGCGACTGCCAGCTCGCCGACGGACTGCGCTCAGCTGCAGCAGGATTTCAACAAGGTAGGCCTCAGTGCGAGAGATCTGAGATATTCCCGAAAGATCTGTCGTTCATGGGAAGCAGTGCAGAATTTCTTTCGGTTCGGTGCTTCACAATGCCCCTCATTGCTTGTCTGTTCTGGGCAGTGCGTGGAGATGCATGGGAGCGACATC